AGTCCAGTGTAAAATTGGCGCGGCACAACTTAATTGAATCACTTTTAAATTGTACGTTAAAAGTTTAAAAGCGGAAAAGAATTTATAGGAATTTCTAAATTCCTATAAAATCTAAACACATTTTCTTTTTGACATTTTACTTTCCATTTAGTCTACATATTTAAACTAAAAAGTATCACATTCAGTTCACAGTAAAAAAAATAATCGAGAAAAGCAATATCTTAATCAATCTCATCTGGAAAAATACGAACGGTTTTTATATTCAGATAGAAAAAAAGGAACTATACTACATATAATGTGAATTATTTTCATACTACTGCAGGATCTCATAAACAAGTTGCATTTTAGAAGCTATTTAAGCAACCATTACAGGTGTTTGCTAAACTGTTCGGAAAGGACGAAGATCTAACAAGTCACAAAAAAGCAACATATTACAAGGAAGCTGTTGAAGCAGGAAGGTATTTTTTTAAAAAAACTATAATGAACCAGCAATGGATATTGAAAACAGAGTAAACACTTAACGGTCTTAACAGGTTTTAAAAAACCGTCAATAATTCACACCTATTGTTGAAACAGTTATATTTTTAGGAAGACAAAATATTCTTTTTAGAGGCCACAGAGATGATGACAACTTATTAGACATAGACGATGAGGATTCTGATGTGATGACAAATAAAGGTAATTTTCAAAAGTTGCTAAAATTTAGAGTAAACTGTGGCAATTTAAATTTATAAAATCATTTGAAAACAGCTAGAGCTTCTGCTACATACATTAGCAAAACTACACAAATTGCTTTAATTGAATGTTGTGGAGAAGAAATATGTGAAAAAATTGTGAGTCGTGTTAAAGAATCAAATTATTATGCTACTATGTTTGACAAAACAACTGGTGCATCACTTCAGTCAAAAATGACAACAAAATTAAACTTTTTGATGCCTGATGGATCATTAAAAGTAATGCATCCTTTTACAATGAACCTATTCTTGACGGCAAAGTTTTTGGTCTATCGGTTATAAACATGTTGGGAAAAAAGTTACACCTTTCTTTAGAAAAATGTGTTGGTGTGGGAACAGATGGTTGTAGTGTTATGAAGTCATTGCAAAAAGAAGCGGTAGTTAAAGTTCAATAAGTTGCGGCAAATACTATTTGGTGTCCATTTTATAATCATGCTTTAGATTTAACTTTATCCAAGAGTATAAACGTACAAGCAATAAGAAATGGTTTGGGGGTTATTAGCAAAGTTGTTGCTTTTTTCAATTCTTCTGCAAAACAAAACTTTATTATCAAAAAAAATGCTAAATTCACAACTGCTTTCACTCTGCGAAATACGATGGGTTGAAAGACATGATGTTTAGTGTTGAGCTTCCACAAATAATTGATGCACTGGACAATATATCTAAATGGAATGATAAAACAACTTTATCTAAAGCAAGAATTTTAAGACTATCAATTAGAGAAAGTGATTTTATTGTATCTTTATGCTGTGCAGTACGTGTGTTCTCCTTAACAAATGGGCTCAGTCAGTTGTTAAAAAGTCAAAAAAAAGTTTAGATTTACATAAAGCAATAAATTGCGATAAAGACCTGTTAAATGTTTTTCAACATAAAAGAGAAAACTGCAAAGATATGTTTAAGGAAATTTTTAGAGCCGCAGAAAAAACAATAATTGAAAAAGATAATAGTTTTACCTACAAAAGAACAACGACAGTTATGTCGTATATACAACAACAGACATGTCGTGAAAATATACCTTTATATACAAGTGAAGAATATTACAGGCGATCAAGAAAGAAGGGCAAGTGAACCATCGCTTTCCCCCCACACCCTCCCATGAATCCCCCCTTGAACTGATGTCTAGTGTGAAAGGCTCTTAGCATTTTTTGCGTATAGATTATCTGGTTATTCATATCAGGATAACTCTTTGAAGTGTATTACTGTTATGGTTATTTTGGCTAATCATACTAACCACTTTTTTCTACCAGTTTAAAATAATATTAGGTTTTTAGCTTATAATTGTTGCCAAAATAAATACTAATAAAATTGCAATAAATTTTATACCTAATAACAAATTAACAATCATTTTTAAAGTTTGTACCAACTTATCCCGGGGGTGGGGTAGGTTAACAAATTTTTTTTATTATTATTTTAAGGTGCGTCAAAAAAGTTTTTTTCAATGAATGTAACTTGAAAATTGTTATTTAAATTAATGCTCTTCAAGACATCAAATTAATGTTTACAAAAAAAAAAAGTGCCGCTTGGAAAATAGAGCTCAAAAGCTAATCCCAGTCTCTCCTACCATATAAAAAATTAAATTTTTTTATTATTATTTTATTTTTTTAAAATAAGTGATTAAAATTTTTTTGTTAAAAATTGTAGAATTTTGCTATTGACAAAAAAAAAGTGTAGAATTTTGCTATTAAAATTTTGAATTGAAAAATTAAACAAAATTGTACACAACTGAAAAAAATAACTTTAATTTCATTAATGTCATTTTTTTCAGTGACAATAGATTGTCTCGCTTTAAAATAAGTATGTGTAATCATCAATGAAAGTTTCGAAGAAAAGCATACAACTTGAATGCATCGTCAATATTTTGCAACAATGCATAAAAAAGAAATTTGTTGACAGAATCGGAGCCTTTGTAAAACTTGTTGCCAGAAAAAACTGTTATCAAAAAATTTTCACTCCAAACTATTTGGCAACAACTAAAAATGATTTAAAAAAATACTATTTACACTCTGCACTAAAAATAAATTAAAAATTAACAACTCTCTTGGCTTTTTAAAACTTTCGAAAAACCAAAATAAAATTAGACACTTATCTAAACATTCTTTGGAATCTTGGTCTTGAAGTAAATGTTATGAGCGTGTTTTTTTTTTTTCATCAAAAATTGCATAATAATAAACGATTCAACAAATAGAATTTTTGTTAAATATTATCTTTAATATAAATCTAAAAATGCTTAATTTTAAATCTTAAAAAATTTTTTTTTGGTTAGTGAATAGGGACAAAAGGAAACAATTGAAAGTTACAAAATTTTAAAGACAGAAACATCTAGATACCTCAAGCTTGTTTTTTTAAGAATAAGAACTAATATGATTAACCACAGGCCCCAGTTGGTTGTAAATTATTTGAAGTTTAAATTTTTATTCTTCGAGCATTGCAACCAAGTGGTTGCAATGCTCGAAGAATTGCAACCACTTGGTTGCAATTATAAGAGTAGTTTTCGAAAATTTAACCTCCAAGAATTGCAACCACTTGGTTGCAATTCTTGGAGGTTAAATTTTCGAAAATTACTCTTACTCTAAAAAACTTTCAGTTTTGAAGACCTTGAATATCTTCAGCCTTGAATATCTTCAGTCTTGAATATCTTCAGTCTTGAATATCTTCAGTCTTGAATATCTTCAGTCTTGAATATATTCAGTCTTGAATATATTCAGTCTTGAATATCTTCAGTCTTGAATATCTTCAGTCTTGAATATCTTCAGTCTTGAATATCTTCAGTCTTGAATATCTTCAGTCTTGAATATCTTCAGTCTTGAATATCTTCAGTCTTGAATATCTTCAGTCTTGAATATCTTCAGTCTTGAATATCTTCAGTCTTGAATATCTTCAGTCTTGAATATCTTCAGTCTTGAATATCTTCAGTCTTGAATATCTTCAGTTCAGGCCTCAGCTCTTTCATAAAGTTGCTTAAAATATTTCCGAATATTTGGGTGAACAAATTTTATATTATAATATTATATCAAAATAACTTTTAATATGATTCTCAAATGAATTCAGGGATTTTAAAATTCTCAAATGCTTTATGGGATAACAGCGTTCCACAATGCACCTACAAAACCAAGTATTTATTTAACCTGTTGCTGTTTTTATAAACAAAAAAATAATAGAAATACTCAGGATAACTGTTTTATCACTTGTAACATGTTCATTATACAGTTTTTACCATTGCTATTGCTTTTAAACAGAAGTTTCAAACTGAAATTTAATTGTTATGTTTAAAAATTTCTTTTTTTCAGTAGGGGAAGTGGAGGCATAACCGCCCCCGTAAAGTTTGGAATAATGTTAGATAAAAACGAAATGTGTTTTTTTACTAGTTTATTTTAATAACCTCATCATTAAGCTTTAAATTGATGCAATTAAGAAATAAATTGAACGGTTTTTGAAAATGTAATTTCACAAAAAGTACAATTAGTGAAAAAAACGGTTTTGCCCCCATTGTGAGGCACAACCGCACCCTCGCAAAAATCGTTAGGGGTACACCTTTCATGGTACATTTTCGTTACAATTTTCACAGCTCAGATTGTTTGATGATTTTGTGGCATGTTTGCATAATTTGCAGGCGTTCTTTATATTTACATTTTGAGTTCTGCTCCAAAAGAGAGTTCTGTCCCAGAAGAGAGTTTTTAGAAAGAACTTAGTTTCATAGCTTGCTTAATAGATTATGCTAATATCAAAAATGGTTTTCACTTGATGAAATAATGCTGATAACACATGTCTTTAACACTAAAATCAAATATTGCTTAGTTCTCAAAAAAAAGGTCTGGAAAAATATGATGTAAATATAAAATTTTTATCAAAATAAACATTATTATGCACAATTTCACAGAAACGTAACAAGCACACTTTTTGACATATGCAAAATGAAGGAAACTGTTTTACTAACGCGTGGTATATTTTTTGCCATTTTAGATAATATTTTTCTAAGGGAAATGTTAAAAAACGGTTGTGCCTCCATATGCGTTTATGCCCCCACTTCCCCTATATAAGCAGCTTAGTGACAAGACTAACATGTGTCTACTTTTTCTCCTAGCCATTTCCGTATGATAATTATCTTAAACCTTTAGAAATTTTAAAAAACAAATTTTACAAAGAATAAAAAAAGAAAAAAAAATACTCTTCAGTATTAAGATACACGAATTTATGCAACAAATTTATATTAAATAAAAACTTTTGGAGATCTAGTTATAATAATGATATTTTATTTTTAATTTCTAGATATTTTTCTCTCAACAATCAATCACATATACGTGATTCATTGCGAACATCTGTATTTGAAAAAGCGGTTGCTATGCCAGATTTTTCTATAATTGCGTCGTCTCCAGTCCGCTCTGTTTTTAATGACGATGTTTTTTTTATTCAAATTTTGGCTTCCACGTGGATGGAAAACAACGGAGAACGTATTTTAATGGCTGGTTTGTATACCTTTCTTTTAAATATTTATTTGCAAAATTGCCATCTATAAATAACATTTTATAATACATATATTAAATATCATTTTTTACTAATTGTTATTGAATAGTTACCGGTGCAGAAATAAATTCTGGATTTCTAAGAGATTTATTGAACAACGCTACCAACTCAATTGGCCGCGATTGTAGTAAAAACGATTCAATTACATGCGCTTTAATAGATCAGAATGGTTTCATTCTGGTTAGCAATCAAGGGACCAGATCAATAGGCAAATTTTTTGGTCAATATCATTCAAAAGTTATGAAATTTTTTGTTGAGAAAGGCATATTCAAACAAATAAACCTTGTTGATCATCAGGCATCTTGCTCTGAAAGTATATACAACGATTCTGCTGCTAATTTTTTTCTGACTCCTGCAAAAATAATTCTTGGCACTTTAAATTGGTTGCTTAGTTCAGTATGGAGACTAATTGTTCAAGCCGTTGTGTTTGCTGTACAAATCTTGTTAAAAAAAAGTACAATAGTTAGCTCACAAAACGCAAACTCAATAAACATAAGTTGCACTAAGAATATGATTTTCTTTCTATTTCAAAATACCATGTGGAATAAATTTTACAACGAGGAAATATATCGAAAAACTACCATGGAAAGAAGTGAAACTTTATTACGTGTTCCCTGCTCAGCTTTTACCGTTCAATATTTTTCGTTGACACCAGTACCAAACACAAATCTTCTATTTATCATTGTTGATTCTCCATCTGATAGCAACTGTAATACACCTATGAATCTTGTGGAAGATATAGACCAACAGACTGAGTTTTGTCAACAAAATGAATCTTTTCGAACTTATCCAAGCATTTGTTACAGCGATAGTGTTTCGGATGAAGAAAAACCTGAGTTTTGTGGAAAATGTGATCAATTTCATTCATCTGTTGTCTTGATTTTTGTACTATTAACAATTTTAGTATTTTTTTAAGTTATAATTATTTGTGCGATATTATTCTCCTTTTACGCACGCTCTCTTGTTGCAAACTCTGCGCTTTTATTACACACGCGCACCTCTACAACACGCAAGCACTTTTAAAGTAGTAAAAAATTATACTATGCAATAAATGCACTCAAAAATGAGTTTTTTTTATTTCATGTTGTAATAAATATCATTATATATTGCGTTAATATAAACATAAAATTTCAAATGTTATAAATATTCAAATACATATAAATATTTAAATAATAATTGTATAACTTAAAATTTAAATTGATAAAAAAAAAAAAAAAAAAGAAATTATAATCAGCTAAAATTCACAAAAGATGATTGTTGTACCAGGAATGGATAAAGATAATCTAGATTATTTTGACTCAGTGGATACAGATCATCTAAGAACGAAGAAAGAGGGGGAGGGGGGGGGGTCAGGAGAACGAAGAAAGAGAGGGGGGTCAGGAAAACGAAGAAAGAGAGAGGGGTCAGGAGAACAAAGAAAGTAAGGGGGAGTCAGGAGAACGATTTTTTATCGGGTGGATCAAGTTCAGAGTAGAGTAGGAGGAGGAGCAAGGTTGTGGGTGGGGGAGAAATTTTCAGGTTTAAATTATAAAACTTTTTTTTTTAGAATATTAGTCTTACACTGTTTTAATCTGTTACTATGAAATTACGCTATATTGATATCTCAAGTATCCGAATTTAATTTTTTTTAACCACACAAAATTATTAAAATTTCTTATCATTTATAAACAGCCTCTATAATTTACTTTTGTTTTCAAACAACATGCTCTGTTTAATTTTTAAAAGAAATTATTTTCAAAATATATAAGGAAGAGAAATAGCCCCTTCCCCCTTCCCTATAAATCCACCCTTGTGTTGTTCTGTTTTCAAAAAAGATGATTGTTGTACTGTTTTTACTCATTGTCAAATATCATTACTTCCTGCATTTATATAAATATCTAAAAGGGTAACTTGTAAGAAAATTTTGATTGCATGACATTAAATAAGCTTTTATATAAAAAATCTAACTTTTTTAAAAATCTATTGTTTTTAAAGAAAACAATGGGTTGTGCTGGTTAAGTCAGACGTTCTTTATATTGTGTCAGAATTCCACAGAGATCAATCTTGTAATCATTATCACTGTACTTAGTAAATATTTATGATATGAATAAAGCTCTTTAAGCATTGTCAATTACTTATGCTGACGGTACAAATTTATTCTATATTCACTCCTATATAAAAATATTGTTCGAATGAATGAAAACTGTATTTAAAAGTTGTAACCAATCGTGTGAAGCAAATAATTCCTCTTTAAATTGTGAAAAAGCAAGCTTTACTTTCTTCCATAAAATAAAACAATCAAATGATTTTGTTAAAGTTGCCAAAATTGTAAATCAATAAAAATAGAATAAAGCAAGAGAAGCAAATAAAGGTTTCAGGAGGTTCATTAAATAAGAATTTATTATCATAAAATTGCCTGATTACTGATACATTGGTTACACTGTCGTTGATCACCAAACTCAGATTATGAGAACAGCAGTGCACAAATCGGGCAGCGGAGTTTCGTTGTCTAATTCTTGCCTGTAACCCTGAGTACTTATATTTGCAACCCCGTTGTAACTTTGACCACGCACTTTTAATAGATCTGTGAAATTTTCTATACATTTTAAGACTGTTGTTTTTAATTCTTGTGGTGTTTGATCAGTAAGCTGAGTAAATCATTTTTTTCATTTTCATCTTTTTTTATCAAAACATAACGGAATACGGTATTTAGCTAATCGATTTTTGATAGATCTTGCGTTGTATCTGTTGTTACTGTTATAAAAGCGGCCTCTTCTATTTCCCCTTTTAACATGGTCATTAACTTCATCACGAACTAAATTAATTAGTTCATTTTGTATGGCCGGACTCAAGTAATTAGTAATTACTGTCTTTGAGTTTAATTTATAGATCGGCTAAAATAATGTCATAGTTGGAAAGTGATTTTATTATTTGTAGAAAATTTCCTTGAAAAAAGTTTCTAAATCTTGAGGCTTCGTGTTATCAGTAATCCTATAGGCTCGGAAAGGTAAATTATTTAGAGTAAGCGTTATAGGTACTTATATCTACGCCGCAACACTTAACGCCAATAATTTACAGCTGTGTTAAGCTCTTGTTGACTTAGAATATTTCTGAAATAGTTTTGCATCGTAAGTAAATTTCTCAAAAAATTCCATCTTGGTTGACTCTTTTTGCTTTTCAATATTTTTTTTGTTGAATGCGATTAATCAGATGTTCTTCCCACGAATTCTAAATCACAGTAGGATGTATCAAAAAGCCAAAACTCTTCACAATTACAAAAGTTTTTTGTTTGTTGAATAACACAATCATTCTATTCTTATTTTAGACATTATATTTATAGTATTATTTCTTGTTGAAACCCCTGTTTTTATTGCGGCCAACATAATCTTTAGGGAAAAGTCTCTTTGGTTGATGAGGACCAAGTTTGGTTGATTAAGACCAAGTGTAATAATTTTACGTTTTTGTTCAGCAGTTAGAGTTTTAGGAAAGTTTCTTTTGTTGGCAGAGTCTATTTCTACAAAGTTTGATTTATCGAGTCTATTTTTACATCGATCCAACAGATTTGTGGAAGAACTTTAGTTGTTGCTTGAATTGATTTGAGTGTTGAAGCATCAGTAATATTTTCCTCTAATTTGTCTTAAGAATGATTGTCTTAATATTGTGATTTTTTCTGTTTTAAAAAAAATGCTGATATTTTACCAACTTTTCTTAATACATTATTTTCCGCCTCTAGCTTTTCTATTCTTCTTTTTTAAAACTGAACTCCGACTGAGTTTTTTTGACATTTTTAAGCTAACCTACAATAAAAACATATATTCTGTTAATTCTTGATAACTAACTGTTTATCTTATCACTTTTAAAGTTATATTATTTTTCTGCAAAATTTTTTTTAAGCCAAATTTGAAAATTTATTGTTATTTTAAAACAAAATTTACCAAACAAAATGGGCACGGATCACAATAAAGATCCATTTTCCCTGATTTCTCCCTAATTTTTCCAAAACTTAACTTAACTTCCTTGATTACCTCTTCATTTTTTTGCAGATATCTGATTTCTCTAACTTTTCCCAATTTTCCCTGCTCTGACAGACACCCTGATTATAACTATTAAAATTTCTACTACTCTATCAAATGATATTAATACAAATCTTAATGTTTGAGACAATCCCTACTATTTTAATCATTTTTTTCTCCCTCTCTTTATTAAGCTATAAATTTATTACGTTCCTAAAAAACGTTATTTTGACCAAGAACATATTTAAAATTTCCAATATTTTAAATATAAGAATATAAAATATGCTTGTAAATCCGGCAAATATACAAACAATTGTTAATCTAATCTAGAAATTTTTTAATTCTTATAAATATTATTTATAAAATCTTATCTAGACAATTATTAATTCAATTTTAATCTAGACATTTAACAGCAGTTGCTTCAAAAAAAGCAACATAAAAAAATAGCTCTAAACTAACTATAAACTATCTATAAATATTATTTACTATAATTATTTACTAATTATAATTATAAATATTACTATAATTATAAATATTACTTACTAACTGAATATAATAAATATAAATATAAATAAATAAATACTTACTAACTGAATATAATAAATATAAATATAAATAAATAAATATAAATTTACTTTTTGAAACTTTTTTTCTTTTATTTGTAATGCTTTAATGACTTTGACGTTTTTTTTAAAAAATATTATTTATAGTCTTTTTAAAAATATTATTTATAGTATTTTTAAAAATATTATTTATAGTATTTTTAAAAATATTATTTATAGTATTTTTAAAAATATTATTTATAGTATTTTTAAAAATATTATTTATAGTATTTTTAAAAATATTATTTATAGTATTTTTAAAAAGTGGAGTGTGTTTGGATAACTTTGAGTTAAGATTTTACACGGTTTAGAGAGTTCTTATCCCATTGGTTGTCTCGCGCGGTCCTTAAGCAATTTAAAACGTTGCATAAATTGGATTGGGGTTGCTAGCAGACTTTCTGACTGGGTTTGCTAGTGAAATGGCAAAATCCTTTTAGATTTTTTAAGGTAATCAAAAAAAAAAAAAAAACTCCGCTATAATATTTTGTGTGCTTGGAGCATTTGCTCCATTTGCTCCCCGGTAGGTACGCCTCTGTAAAAGTTACAATGCAATTAGCTATTTTAAAATATTAAAAACTTTAAAATATTAAAACCTTTCCTTTGTAATGAAATTAATGTCCAAAGTGTATTTAAACTTAATTCGTTTTAAATACTTTTATTTATTTAGAACTATTAGAATAACTTATGTACCTGAAGTAACTACAATTGCATGAAGCTATTTAGGAGATTATGATTGTATTTTTAGTCTAAAAGATTATTTTCCTTATTTGTAGGAAATAATGTAATGCGTTTAATGTAAGTAACGATGGTAATAAACTATATAAGAAAGACTAATCGTCCGATACTGAATGAAAGTTTAGTTTAATATAAAAATTTCAGTTTAATGTTTAACTAAAAACTAGTGAATGTTTTGTATGTGGTTTGTAGAATGATGCTAGAAATAAAGAGGCTTGGTTTAAATGTAGTCTCTGTAGATATTGGGCTCATCAAAATTGTTGCCAAATGGTTTCAGGATATTTTTTGTGTGCTTTATGCGAACGATAAAATCTTTTTTCCTCAATTTAATAATATTGGCCAGTTTAATGATATATACTTGTTTCGCCCTACTTTATTTTAATAACATTTTATTAACTTGTTTGTTCACGAGCAAGGTTTTAATGTCTGAACATATTTAAATAATAGATAGCCTAAATTTTTAATTATAAATCTTTACAATAAACTAATAACTTATGCGCTTTAACTGTTTTGCCCTACCCACTAAAATATGAAAAATTTGTCATTTTGATCTGAAAAAAACGTCATTTAAACATTCAAAAGACGTTAGAACGTTCAAAAGACATTTTGAACTTGAGTTTCATTACTTTGGTTGTAAATTTCTAGAAAGTGTTTTTTTCTTTTTTCATTTTTTTTTACATAAGTATCTAAATTACATAAAGTTTTTATATCGTCAAAATTATCCTTAGATTTAAGTGTTTCTAATTTTCCGAACAATAAATGAAAAAAGATAGCAAGTTTTAATAATATATTTTTTTAATAGAATATTAGCAAGTAAACAAAAACATTTAATAAGGAGATTCAATTGAAACTGTTGCAAATCTGTTGAATGCAACACTGATCTGTTGAATTTTACACTGAGCAACACATGTTGCAATTGTTGCTAATCTGTTGAATACAACAGTTAAGCGTTGAGTCATTAATAAAAGTCACAGTGAATCATTCCCCTAAATAAATTCTATTTTATGCTGGCTTACTGTCAGGTTATACAGGAAACTTTGTAGTTTTGAATATAACTTTTGTTTTTATTTTTGCAATTTATAATTTTGGTGATATCACTAATTTTATAAAAGTGATTATACTCACCTAATTTTAAAAAAAAAAACTTTTTAAATCTATCCTTCTTTATAAGCAATACATATATATGGTATTATTTGAAATTATATTGATATTATATATATCTTATTTAGGATATGATTTTTTATTCAAAAATAAGGAAAAACCAACTCCGACTTAAAACACACCCTGCCTTGGGGCTCTTCTCCATAAGCTCTCTTCGTATGGTTCTTATGGTATATCAGGTAAAATCTTTAAAATTATTGAACCCTTCCTTATTAATTGTAGTATCAAAGTTGTCCCCAAAGTACAGCACTCTTCTTCATATTCTGTAACTTCAAGGGTTCCTCTAGGTTCTATCCTTGGCTCTATACTTTTTAAAATTTACATTAACAATCTCCCAGAAATTCTCATATCTAAGATGGCATTGTTCACTTATGAAACTGTTGTTTATTCTTGTCTTGATAAAAGGTAAACACTCCCTGATTGTTTGAAACAGAACTCACCTCTGCTACAACATGGGGCTTTCAGTGGCTGGTGAACTTCAGCTCAGATAAAACTCAATTTTTTTCAGTTAATTGTTATCGCAATCTAGATCTTTCTATATTTATTAACAGAAGTTTACTCAATAAGTCTACCCTTCATCTTTTAGAATCTACCCTTAATCTTTTAGAATCTACCCTTCATCTTTTAGGATTTACTTTCTTGGAAGTCATACATTATATAAATTGCTAAATAAAAACTGTAAAATTTTCAGGATTCTATCCTTAATCTTCATAAATTTAAAATTCGTTCTTGCATAATGCTGTTGCCATATTTAGAGCGGATCTTCGAATGTCTTTATTGTATTTTCTCTTTTATAAAAGGACAAGGTGCAAAAATGCATTGCAAACATAGATGGACCTGCTCTTGCAGTCAACCTCCAACCATTATCAAATCGCTGGAATGTTGCTTTTTTTACAAATACTGTAATGGGCACTAATCTAAAGAGCTAGCGTCTCTTATGCCATCTACTAAATTTCATTCTTGTGTTACTCGTCATTTAATTAAGTCTCATCCTTTTTCTGTGATTGTTCCTAAGTGCAGAAAAAGCTCTTATTTGTCTAGTTTTTTTCCTAAAAGATCAGTTTTGTGGAATTTGCTTCCTTCATCTTATTTTCCTGATTAATATAATTTGCAGCTTTTCAAATTGTCTGTCAACTTTTAATTTGCTCTATAAACTTTCTCTTTTGCTCTATAAACTTTATCTTGCTTCTTCTTGTAACTTCCAACTTTAAAAGTGGTTGATTGCAGCCTTCTTGGCTTCTTGGAAGTGAAGAAAAAAAAATTTATTAAATCTGTAAATGTAGTTTATATTTTTAGATAATGCAATTAAAATATGAAATACATTGATATTTATTTATATGAAATTCAAAAAAGTTTGAAGATAGTTGGTCTTGGATGTTTTGGATGCAGTTGTAAATGACATAATTTTCTCTAAAAAAATATCTTGACTACTCTCATGAAACATCTTTGAAAAAGTGGCCAATATGCAAAACCTCTAAAATTTAAATCAAATAGAATAACAAGGAATGGCTACAAAATAAGCTGATTCTACTAACAGTTTCCATTGATGAAGTTAACTCTGCTCTTATTTCAACTGAAATATCTGAGAGACACCGTGTGATTTTTAATATTTCAAGTAGTCAAACAAAGAAAAGAAAATCATCGTTTTTAGTTCGATCTTTTTACAACTTCATAGTTATTGTTTGCATTAACTTGTAGTTCAGAACTAATGTTGGTATCAGGTTGTAGATTGTACCAAAATAGTAGAGAAAAAGATGCTGTTTTATAGTTATCAGAATATAGTAAGTCAAATTTTTTTATTGTATCTTATGCACCAAAAAAAAAACTCTAGCTCTCATACTTTATTGTAATCTACCTAAGGATTCATACCAACAGAATCATTTGGGTGCAATTTAAGAAGGCTCTAAACTGCATCTTCTTTACAATCTTGATTGAAATACAAAAAAACAATGCGTGCCAAATAATACAAAAGAACAATGAATGCAAAAAAACACAAGCGAATAATACATGCTAAATAATACAATGAACAATGCATGCTAAACAATACAAAAGAACAATTCACGCTAAACAATACAAACAGTATAAGCAATATTGATTACTTAACATTTGCTGATCTAAAAAATTATTTAGGTACATTGCTGCTCCCCTAGTCTTCAAAAAAACTGGTTAATTCAGAAGCATAACATAAAAAATTTCACACTTTACCATTATATTGGTTTCGATGGATCAACAGAGCAACCAATGAAAAATGAGTTATCGAATGATAATACCTGTAGGAATCTTCAACAAGAAAAGAGTTTTTTGCTTGTATTATTTCTTTGGAATTGTTTGTTTTTAATGGAATTAAAAAATCGGATTTGATAGGCCTCAAAAAAATATAATTAGGCCTAATCCAAAATCATATTCCACTATGTACTGTCGGTCAGTGCAGTTTATTTTGAGGAAGGAAACAGTCGAAGCTATAATTTATAACATCAACTGTTTCCTTCCTAAAAATAATGCACTTAATAATATAAACCTATGTACCTAATAATATAAACAGCTGATAAATGAAATGACAAATAGTTAAAGTTAAAATTAAAAATATCTAGTATGCCATAGTTTTCTTCTTCCTTTATATTATAAAGGAAGAAGAAAACTATGGCGTACTAGATATTTTTTGTTTTAATTTTAACTATTTGTCATTATATTATTCAGCTGTTTATATTATTAGGTACATTTATGAGTGTCAACAAAATTTGCAGCTTACTAGTTTAGTTGATATTATCACGGTTAACCATATAGTTGAACTGAAGGTGGTGGATGAAAAGTCTGCCACTGCTTTGTATGATGTAAAAAATTCAAGTCCATTTTGTTCAGTATGTGTTGTCAAACTTAAAAAATTAAGCAAGATCAGTAGAGGACAAGGTTTCTGTTAAACTAAAATAGAAAATAGTACAAGATTGCTATTTATTTGGCTAAAGGTTTGAGTTTGGGTAAGTTGTCTTGTAAAAAATGTTTTTTTAAAATGTTTGTTGATGTGACACGGTCGGACACGGTCGAAATTAAAGTTTGATGTTTTATTTGAATTATTAAAAAAGCTCTGTATAAAGTTTATTTTTATCCTAAACTTTTATCGTTTTTAAGCGTTACATTTAAAAAATATTACATTCGGAAAATTATGTAAAAAATTTAAACTTTTTTTTTTTAAGTTTAAAATTTGAAATTAAGATAATGTATTTTTTCCTTTTATAAACTGTATATAAAAATTAATAATGGTTAAACTTAAAATATTTGTATATTTATACTGTTGATAATGTTAATATTATGTTTGCTATCAAATGTTTATGAAAAATGTTGTAAAAAATATATTCCCAACTTATCAGTTCGGAATAAATGGCGACAATTACCCGCCACTTTTAGATCACCTTTGCGGGCCTCTTGTTTGTTTTAAAAATGCGTTCTGAACTTCCAATATTTGTAAACATAGCGAGCATTATAACTTCTTATATTCCAGCTACACTCGAGATATATAAGTATCTCATAGTCCACATGTTATATATCAGTAAGATGATTTTCTTTTTTTTTTTCTTCTTTTTTTTGGTTTAAGTAAGTTTATCAAATTAAGTCATGTTCTGTTATATAGTAAATGTATTAAAGTTAACGTTATTTTTTGACTGTTTTTTTACAAATTTATGCAGTTAGTATTAAAATTAAATTGTAGCTGTTTAACTATTAATAAGCGTTGAACTGGTGAGGACCCTCTTTGATCAAGCATTGCAACTATCTTACTTATAATTTAAAAAAATGACATCGTATATAATATCTAGCTCTGAAACAAACCAGTAAACTTTATTATGTAGTATCTGATTTTAAGTCGTATAGATACCCGTTCCACATGATTTTTTTTCTCGACATTTATATATATATATATATATATATATATATATATATATATATATATATATATATATATATATATATATATATATATATATATATATATATATCAATACAATCATGTTATTCATATATATATATATATATATATATATATATATATATATATATATATATATATATATATATATATATATATATATATATATATATATATATCAATACAATCATGTTATTCATATATATATATATATATATATATATATATATATATATATATATATATATATATATATATATATATATATATATGAATAACATGATTGTATTGATATATATATATATATATATATATATATATATATATATATATATATATATATATATATATATAAGTATATATATATGAATAACATGATTGTATAATAACGTAGATTGTATAGATATCTATACAATCTATGTTATTATACAATCATGTTATTCATATATATATACTTATATATATATGAATAACATGATTGTATAGAGCTAAGAAAAACTTAAAAAATAAGGGGTTTTTCAACTTGGAAATTTAGTTTAAAAAACATCAAAAATCTAGCCCAAAAATCATAACGAACGATCACAAAGGAAAAAAACATTATATCATAATTTCTATATGCAAATCCTAAGTAACAAATCTTCTTGTGTCGCATTAAACAGTTAGATTAAATAAATACTTGTACTAAATTGTAGAAAGACTATAAATGCCATTTCCACATGGACTCTTTCAAAAAACACTGTTTTTTTTATATAAATCAACCTTGAATTTTGAAATGCTTAGAACTAAAAAATTATGTATGAAAAAGAGTCCACATTCTATTAGATTCTTCATACCTATTTTAATATATCTGAGAAGTTTTATACAAATTAAATGTTTTTTGGAGCTTAGCTTAGGAAATCTTATTTTTGCAAAAATGTGTCTGCGGCAAGTTGTTTTTTTGTCAATAGTGATCTCAAAACATATATATGAAGCCATGTAAAACCCACATCATTCTAAATATGGTTGAAAAGAGTCAAATTAATTGATGCAAAAAATCTCAAGGTTCTAGCTTAATTATATAAAAAAAAAAATACAAGAGAATAAAGTTCATAAATTTTTTTTGTCAAACACCAAATTTTTTTTGTTGCGCTCAGGAATCACTAATATGAATGAAATAGAATTTGAAAGATTATATCCTATTTTCAATAATAATTTCATTTTTTTTTTAACAGAACACTTTAGGTATGCACCATACTAAGTCAGTGATTCCAGAGCGCAACATAAAACATTTAAGTTTGACAAAAATCAATTAATTTTCATAAACTTTACTCTATATCTTTCTTTATAAGTAAACTAGAAACTTAGGATTTTTTGCATCAATAAGTTTGACTCTTTTCAACCATATATAAAATCTAGTAAGTTTTTTATAGCAATTTTTTTACATGGTTTATATTACTTATATATTGCTTACTTATATATCTTGAGATCACTATTGATTTAAAAAACTTGCGGCGGTAAGGTTTTTTTTCAAACAAAGCTTTTGAAGGTAAGGATTCTTAAGTAACAAAACATATCTAATTTGTATAAAGGGTCATTCCATGCCAAGTGGTGCAAAGGTCCCTTATGGACCATCTCAGATTTTATTGAAGTTTTTTGATTTTGTACATATATATGTGAAAAGCATGTTTTGAAAATTTTAGATCAATATATAATATAGTTCTTGAGAAAACGCTATTTAAGTAGTGGGCTATTATGCATAAAATTTCACTCTACAAGAAAAAAGTTTTTTTTTTGTCATTTTTATCAGCCAACAACTTTTGAACAAATTAGTTTCATGCTTCAGTTATTATTAGTTAGCAAGTGTGCTGTGAATACATTAGGAAACAAAAAAAAATTAAGTTGTGGCATCTTAACTTTTTCCATAATGGCGGTCTAAAGTTGAGATTTTTGTTTTTAAAATAATTTTTTTTGTGATTTTAATGATCTTTATCTTGAAAACTAGTTAAATGATTAATACAAATCAAATTGCCTGCTAATCTACATGTGGTGGATAAACATTTTTAAAAAAATCAGTTGATTAAAGAGCTGCATTTAAAAGTTATAGGTCTCCAAAATGAGTCAGATCGAGATTTTCGTAAAATTGATCTGTGATGCAAAGCATCTGTTACCTAAGATGGCACTTTTTTTTCATAAAAATTTTTATACACAACAATTAAAGACTGTTAATTAATAAAAACCAAAAAAATTAATGGGCGCTTATTTATAACCCCAAAAGGTAGTCTCTAAAAGTCAGGTAAATTTTCCATAAAATTCTGAAATTTACATAATAAATAAATGCATTGAATTATATAATGTTATTTATTATGAAATATCAATTAAAAAATATCAATGTTTATAGCCTTATAATCCCTTTAGATAAAGAACTTTTAAATCCCAATAGATAAAGTCCCCTTCCCTCTGTCTCCTCCCCTCTGTCTCCTCCCCTCTTTATAATACAATATTTTTTTTAATGAAAAACAAACAAAATGTTTTTAAGAAAATAAACAAAATTAATAAAATTTACAAAAAGTTAAATTTCTCAAATAATAAAATAATCTCATTGATTTCTTGTAAGTCAATACTATAAAATATTCCACTGTTTGACTGGACTTTGAGAGATTGCACTTTGCATAAAATATGCATCAGAGGTAGCCAACAAAGATCATCTCTGCATGGCCACATGAACTTGTTACATAAAGACTTTTTCATGAATTTCATATTAAGATCTTGAGGCTCTTCTGAAATACTAAAAATATTTCCTAAATACCATTGAACATCAGAAATGCAGGCCACATATTCTCCTGGTGAGTAACTTGAAATTTTATTAATAAAAATTCTGCAAGTAGAAAAATCCACATTAGTGCAAATAATATCAAATGAGACTCTTCTTATTTTTATTGAGGTAAGTGACATTAGGATAAAACTGTGGTGGTTTTGTGTCCCAGGTATTGTAGAACAAGAACGATATCTCTCTTCCAAATTGAAGTTTGTAGTATGTGTTTCTATTGAAACTTTGTCAACAACAAAAAAAGATATTCCTTTGACGTGTTGAACACACCAACTGTACATTTTGCTTGGTGTGTCAATAGGATCGTTTAGTGAGTGTAGACTGGCTCGTGCAACAAGACGTTTCACTGTTCCACCAACACCATCACAAGGGCTTTTACCATGCGATGTTGCAAAAAAGTGCCACTCTGCAGTCATGTCAAAATCATGTTTATGGTAGCATAAGTAGATAAGATTTTTGTAATTTATATATTGTGATGCAGCTCCATCACTAAAATAGATAATGTATTCAAATGTTTGTAACTGTTTAAGTTTATCAATAACATTACCGATAAAGCAATGAGCAGCATCTGTTCCATGTTTCAGATGATCTGATATAACACAATAACTTTGACTATCAAGTTTTCCATCTTTTTTAAAATACGCAACAAAGGGGTACACAGTTGCTTGGCTGTTATTCCAGTGAAAACCTTGCACTGCATCCTGTATTAGAAAACAATAGTTTTCTGCAAAGTCAAGAAGAACCAAAACTTGATTTTCTTTTAAATTAGTTTTCAAATATTGGTAGTAGGTGGCTTGACTTTTGATTATAAAATGATGCTCTTGTAAACTATCTAACTGTTCATAAACCATTTCAATAAATTCATCTAAAGCTAGAGTTGCTGGTACTAAATTACATTGGTAATTTGATTTTTGCCATTAATAAAAGTTAACTTCACTAATTTTATTTTCTGTAAACAAAGTGTCAATGTAGTCTAACAAAATCTTTTTAGCAGGACATTTATCGCAGCTATGCAGCATACAATTTCTATTTTCGATGCTACAAACCATTAATTTCAATAAGATTTTGTAATCAGCAATTCCAGGAATTTTCTGTACAAGGAGCTTTACATTTTGATGGTACTGGCAAACACAAACTGCATGCAGACCAGAAGCACCACCCACAGGAATGCACCACTTGGGCCTTAGCTCACAAAATTTTGAAAATCCAACTTTAAGATAATTATATTTCTTTTTAAACTCAATATGTGGCTCTTTCATATTGACTAGTAGAAGTTGCTTTTGGATATGTTGCTTTATACTATCTACTTTAACTGAAACAAACTCTTTTTTTCCTGGACAAACCCTTGAATATTCATTGCATTCATAGAAATGAACAACCTCTGTAATTACATCTTCGCTTAGTTTTCTACCCAATTTTGGAGAAGGTTTTGATAGTATTCCACTTTTTTTCCTTATTTTTCTGGCTTGTACTACAGATCTTTTTAAAGTCAAAAAAAACTTCTGAGTTTTCTCTATTGACCAACTGTCTGGAGTGAGTGTAAGAAGTGTGATTTTTTCAGAATTTGACAATGTTTTTTCAAATTTTGACTTAATTTGAGTCATAATATTGTCTAAATCTGTGTTTGTTTTTTCAAACATTTTTTTGAGGGTGATTCAATTCCACCAAGTGCAGCTATTTCTAAACCTAGCACATTGGCAACAGCCTTTTGTGTATGAGCTCTTACCCTATCAATTTTATGCTTTCCATATGCAATTCTATCTTTTTTTGAAACAAGTTTGAGAGGTGAGCATCCAAAACTTGCAATACTCGAATTAAGATCTTCTTTTAATGTATGGTTGTCAACATAAATTTCCTTTTCTTGGACTTCATTTTCTTTTGTATTATGTTTGCAATACGGAACTTTTCTGCAACTAGTGCAAATTTTTTGACCAGGTATTAAACCAAAATCTTTGGCATATGAAAGACTGATAACTCTAAGAGAATCTAAAAAATAACAGAAATAATTATTAAATATTGTTTTATTATTTATTTAGTGTTATTAAGGTATTTTTATTAAATTAAGATATTAAATATTGAAACTTACTTTTCACTTTTTTTGCGTGCTTGTTCAACGGATTACAACAATACCTGCGATGTTCATTCTCATACCTCGACAAGTAAACGTTCTCGTGATAGCTACAAATAAAATCTATGGGATTTATTTTGCTTCTCAAAGAAATAAGCTCTTGGTTTAGTGTAGACAGTTCTTGGTAGCGTTTACTTTTTTTAGATAGATAGCACTGTTCATTTAATGCTTTACCAATTCAGCAAATAGAAAGCTCAGACATATTACTTATTATTAATTAGTTCTAAAATACAACAATTAATTTGGTTTTATTAGTACTTTTTAGATTGACATACTAGTAATATAGAATTAAATAAAACAATAACTTAACTTTTAAAAAGTAATAATTTTTTATGGAAATTTTACCTGACTTTTAGAGACTACCTTTTGGGGGTTATAAATAAGCGCCCATTAATTTTTTTGGTTTTTATAAATTAACACTCTTTAATTAATGCGTATAAAAATCTTTATGAAAAAAAAAAGTGCCATCTTAGGTAACAGATCCTTTGCATCACAGATCAATTTTACAAAAATCTTGATCCGACTCATTTTGGAGACCTATAACTTTTAAATGCAGCTCTTTAATCAACTGATTTTTTTAAAAATGTTTATCCACCACATGTAGATTAGCAGGCAATTTGATTTGTATTAATCATTTAACTAGTTTTCAAGATAAAGATCATTAAAATCACAAAAGAAATTATTTTAAAAACAAAAATCTCAACTTTAGACCGCCATTATGGAAAAAGTTAAGATGCCAGAATTAAAATTTTTTTTCTTTTTCCAAAGTATTTACAGCACACTTGCTATCTTATAATAACTGAAGTATAAAACTAAATTGTTCAAAAGTTATTGGCTGTTAAAAATGATGAAAAAAACCTTTTTTCTTGTAGAGTGAAATTTTATGCAAAATAGCCCACTACTTAAATAGCGTTTTCTCAAGAACCATATTAGATATTGATCTAAAATTTTCAAAACATGCTTTTCACATATATATGTACAAAATAAAAAAATTTCAATAAAATTTGAGATGGTCCATGAGGGACCTCATTAAAATTTGCACCACTTGGCACGGAATGACCCTAAAACCTTCTATATATATTATTATGATGCCTTGTCCCTTTTTATATATCTATAAAAAGGGACAAGGCATCTAAAGTAATGTGGACTTATTTGAATATTTATACATAATTTTTTAAAAACTTCAAGGTTGATTTATATTAAAAAAACAATGTTTTTTGAAAGAATCCATGTGGGAAGGACCTTTATAGCCTTTTCTCAATTTAAAACAAGTATTTAGTTATGTTTCTTTGAATATTTACTACTCAGGATTTGTATATAAAAATTATGTATATAATGTTTGTTTTCCTTCACATATCATTTGTTTTGATTTTTGCGCTAGATTTTTTGTTTTCTTATTTTGTTCCGGTGTCATTTCACAGCAAATTTATCATACTTACCAAACAAGAAAATGATTTTAATTCTCATAAAATCAGGGGAATAAGCAATAGTAATTTTTCTATATCTAAAATATGTAATCAGTTATTAACTACATCTTAAAAATATTTTCATCATGGAACTATTTTTATAATTATTTTATTTTCAGATATTTGAAAGAATTCTGTTTGCATGTTTCTAGAAAAGTGTAATGGGTCATGAAATTTTCAAAACAGATTATCATGATTATATTTATGGTGTACACAAGCTTTCCTTTAGTTTTAATTAAAGCTTAAATGGCAAGTGTTAAATTAATAAAATCTCATTCCCAAAGTTCAATTTCATCTGGTGGTAGTGAAAAAAACGGAAGGCAAAATAAGGTATCACATTTTTTAATATTAGGTTTTAAAAATGTAAATAATGTATAAAGCTTAACAAAAAACTTTTTAAATCATTAAGTTTATTTTGCTTATCAGTATTGACTTTCTTATGAAGTTTTTCTTGATTAGCACTTTCCGGTAAAACATCACTCTAATTGCTGTTTTCTGTTGAAGCCTTCAACAGAAACAGATTTGTATTTTCTGGTAAATCTAATTTTTTAATTAAATATATTTATTTAGTTAGTTTTATAAAGTTGTCTATTAGTTGGTTTTTTACCAATTAGGTTAATCTACTTTTAGACCCTGTGTTTTATGCTAAAAAATGAATATATGACTTGGTCTTAGTCTTCTATTTGTTGTATTAGTTATAGTTCTAGTTCTAGGAAAATGTAATCAAAGTTGCTTATTTAATACTGATTTTAGAATTTATTACAATTTATTAGAATTTAATTTAGCATTTTTTAAACTTTAGAAAAAATTCTGAATGGCTTGGTACAGTTTTTCGAATATAAGCACACCAATCCATAAGTTTTTCATATCAAAGTGAAATCATGAATGCAAAATAATAACATTGTCCAGTTAAATAAGTTAGGTCAACTGGTTGTATTATGATGCAAATGATAAGGGTATCTTACTAACCCTGAAAATATGTCAACATATATAGGTCTTAGTATATAGGTCTGTTAATGTTTTATATATATATATATATATATATATATATATATATATATATATATATATATATATATATATATATATATATATATATATATATATATATATATATATATATATGTATATCAATGGCATTGGCTAAAGTAAATGAGTGCAATGGCGGAGAAAAGCTCTCCTAAAACGAAAACATGGCGAGCCATTTAAGCTGCTTCTCTAAACAGCTTCTTACGAGAGCTCTTGCTTTTTGCACAAGCTATTTGTTTAATTATTAAAAAAATTGCTTATTAAATACAAAATTTAGCTTTATACTTGAACAAGCATATGTTTGTAATGTTATTGTTACAAGAATATATATATATATATATTAGGGTGGTCCATAAAACAACTTTTTTGAGAAAAACCTGCTGACACCCCCTAAATGTGTTTTATCTAATGCAAAAACACTAGGTTTAAAATTTTTTTGAACAAAAATTATTTTTAGGGGTAGCTCAAGGCCCTCAAAAATTTGACGGGTCCCTAATATTTTGAAAAAAAAACTTTTTCTAAAGTATGTCAACCTGGTACTCAAAAGAAGCGATATTGTATAAAAACTTCAAAAATAATAATCATTTTACATAAAAAACATGCCTAAAAAAAATTATTCTCAAAAAACCTGAAAATATTGACTTTTTTTATTTTCAGCTTAAAAACAATAGTTTTTATGCATTTATACCTAAAAAAATTATTTTTATAAAAAATTATTATCATTTTTAAATTTTTTATATAATTTTGCTTATTTTGAGTACCAGGTTGACATACTTTAGAAAAAGTTTTTTTTTCAAAATATTAGGGACCCGTCAAATTTTTGAGGGCCTTGAGCTACCCCTAAAAATAATTTTTGTTCAAAAAAATTTTAAACCTAGTGTTTTTGCATTAGATAAAACACATTTAGGGGGTGTCAGCAGGTTTTTCTCAAAAAAGTTGTTTTATGGACCACCCTAATATATATATATATATATATATATATATATATATATATATATATATATATATATATATATATATATATATATATATATAACTAGCATTGTTTGTTGTGTCATGAATTATTCTTTAAACAAGCGTTTTTTTTGGGTTTTCACACTAGCTATCCATTTATTTAATAACAACAACTTATTTGATGAAAAACTTGACAAAGAGCTATAAAAGTTTTACTGCTTATAAAAAATGTTTTATATTTTCTTATTTTAATAGAATGCAGGTATTTTAAAAACTATTACAACAATTAAAAATTCTACAATAAAAGTAAATGATATATTCAAGTAATAATTATATTAAACAGGGTTCCTACACCTCCTTAAAAACCTTAAATATCTTTAAAAAATAAAAACCTCCTTAAATGTCTTTAAATAACCTTTAAAAAAGTTAAAGTTTGACTGCTCTCCTTAATTTTTCCTTATTTTTTTTTTTTATTCATCTAGAAAATTTTTTTAAAGTGAATGGATTATACTTGTTAATAAAGAAGATAATATATAGATTTTTGATAGTTTTCAAACCGATTTTTGTTATTATATATATATTAAAATTTATATACATATCCATATATAAAATAATAATTTCTCTGTTTATTTAAAATTTATTGAAAAAAAATTATATTATGTTTTTAATGTAATCGTTTTCTCCTTAATTATCCTTACTTTTTCTTCCAAAAAAATGTCGTTCGCAACCAAATCTCCTTAAATATTAGGAAAATATCTCCTTAAATCTCCTTAAAATCCTTAATTTTAGCCTTAGTTTTAATAGTGGGAACCCTGTTAAAGTAGTTAATATATAAAATATATAATTCATTACATAAAATAAAAGTTATTATGCAATAATTTAGAGTATAATGATTTTATTTTTTATTAGTTATATAATTTTATATTTTATCAATATAATTTAGTGTAATAATTTTATATTTATCAAATAGTCCAATCTAATCAAAAACATTTACATTTAAATTTGCGCTCTTTTTTTTTTTTTATGAAACAATGGTGCCTTTTAAAAAGTATTGCAGTTTATTATAGAATTAATTTTATTATCATAAAAATGACTTTGTGCTTTTCATTTCAGTTATAATGATAATTATACTTGAGAGAAAAAAACTATACTTTTTGAGAGATGTAAGTTGCACCAATAAACCGTTTTAGGGGAGTGTGGACGAGAGGATATATATATATATATTTATATATATATATATATATATATATATATATATATATATATATATATATATATATATATATATATATATATATATATATATATATATATATATATATATATATATATATGTTTCTTTCTAGTATACAAATGCGATAAAGTCCCTTGTGTTGCATTAAACAGTTAGACTTTAGGTTCTATTCTTTACAACTCATCAGCATTTGGCTGTTTAAAATTTAGCTTCTAATAGATTTTGCTATATTGTCTTAAAACAATTAGAGCGCAGTAAAAAAATAATTTTTTTATGTTTTGTATATTTAGGATTCATTTAAAAGACTTTTTTTTGTTAAATAAAACTTCTCTAATAGATTCAAGGAGATTTTAAGTTTTTGGAGCGTTCTGGTAGCGGTGATAATGTTCGGAATATTGTTGAGAAAGAAGGAAAGAGTGCAAGAAATCTTTTAACATGGTCTGTACCTACCACAGATCAAGGTAAAGTTTTTATAATCTTAGGAAACTAAAAACTTGCAACTGTGAAATATGCTAAATTGCAAGAAAGCAGGGAAGGATATCCAAGAAAAAATCTGGTATTAAGAGTTCTAAAATTGCAGTTCTTAATCCGCATTGTAGTTCTTGCCTGAGTAAAGTTAAAAGAGGATTGCAATTCTCTTTTAACAACACTCAGGTAGAAAAAGTAAAAAATTAACTTTGAATAATTGGCTGTGAAAGGTTGTTTAACATATTCTATAGAAAACAATTTTTACGTAAATTTATTTTGTTAGAGATATCATATCAGCTGCAGCTGTTTCTCTTGGTAATGTTTATCTAAGTGTTGATATTTTTTTAGTAATTCAAATCATGAATTAATAACTGTTTTTAATTTAATTTTTGTAAATATATGTTCATTTGATGATTTAAAATATGTTATTATCCACTTTTTAATAATGTAATAAATCAAAATACCTTCTGTATTCATTTCCAATAAATTGTCCATAACTTTTAATTGAAATTGACAATAGAATTTTTAATGAAAACATGACGGAGCAAAACAAGGTACAAAACACTTGGAAAAAATGGCGCCAAAAAAAGGTGCAAAAAAAATTTTTAAATGCTTTAATTACATAATAAGAGTTTTTTGATTTGGTGAACTACATACATATTGATAAGTAAACTATACTCTTTCAGAAATCATCAACCTCGACTTGGACACAATTCAAAAAACCTAAATTTAGTTAGGGCTAATTGTGTCTAAGTTGGCTAGTCTGAGTTGGCTTCTCCAAGTCTTTTCCTAAAAAAGCCTATCCTACAAGGCAGCAGGAAATGAAGCAGGTTGTACTGGGTTACATGCAACCAGTAGCAGGATAACCTAACCTGATTTTGAATTAAGTATGTATTGTAAGGAGAGAACTTTTTAAAATTTAAGCATGTCTACTATTTATTAAAATCATTTTTTCATTTCTTTAATTTTACTTTGATCATTTCAAGACAGTATTTAAATATTCATATTTTATTTGAAATTATCTTTCATTATTTAATAGAAGGGATTATACATTTTAAACTTTTTTTTTTTGTTTACTCTTTGATATTTTTCTCGTTTTTTTTCTTTTGTTCTACCTTGACATTTGACTCTAACCATTACTTTAGTCTACTGTTAAAATTTGATTTAAATTTTTCTTCATAGATCATTAGCTAACAGATTAGTAAAAAAATGCCTTGGGGCTCTTAGTTGACTAAAGGCTAGAGATGGTGTCTCGATAATAATACTCATCTTGGGTAGATGTCAAACGCATGAGGCTACTGTCTTGTAGAGGGCCTCCTAAGACAAAGACTTGAGGCAAAGAATTGAGGGGTAAACAGGTTCTATCTGTTGACCAGCCTCACACCCCTACTTCATCTATTAAGCTGGCGCAGATGTATTTATAATACATTGTTTCCAGTTAAGGATGTTGAATTCTAGATCTTCTTGACTCAATGCGTAGGTTTTGCTTGTGTCACTGTTTTTATGACTAGGCAACTCATTCTATTATCTTTATAATGAGGGTACAACTTAAAAACTCAGTTTTATGGTTCTGAAGCTGGCTGGTAGTCAGGTTCCCCGAACTTTGTGGTAGCTCTCAAGGAGGCTGACTCTATCAGCAGCTGTAAAATATCAGAGTACTAACAGTGCTATGTTGCCCATGAACGGAGTCTCTGTTCTTACTTTTGGTGTGCATTGTTGTGGCCACATTGGAGCCCTTGTTTATGGCTTAGGGTTTATTAACAGTAATGAGGTAATTACTTGGACTAATAAACAATGTACTTTCTATGCATTGAGTCCAGTTCTTTAACAAATTTAAAAATGACTAAAGTACAAAAAACTATAAAACACAAAAAACCATTGTCATCACCAAGTTCTCTAAACCTATCATTCACTAAATTACTTTAAAGACCACATTTGTGGTCTTTGAAGTAATTTTTTTTCTGTTGATTCTTATTTATTACAAAGTTCACCAGACCGACTTGCTCTTTGTGAGATTAATTTGAGTTGGGCTGTCTCATCTTTTGATCTTAGTGTTGATGGTTGTCTTCCTTTAGTTCGTAAAGACTCCAATAGTCACATGCTTGGACTGGGCATATACATTACTAAGAGTTCACCCATTTGTCAAGAAACTAGGTTTGAATTTACCGGCTATTCTTTTATGTGCTTTCGTTTAGCACCACTTCACTCTGTTTTCTTTGTTTATTGCCTTTCTCTTTGTTCTATATCGCTCTCCTTCAACTCAAGACTGCAATCTTTTGGATGTTATTTCTGATCAAAATTGATGGAGCCCTCTCTCTTTATCCATTAGCCAATACCGTTGTTGTTAGTTACTTTAATGCTCATCACAATGAATGGCTTGGCTCTAGTGTCAGTGACTCTGCAGGGGTTAAGGCTCACAACTTTTGCCTTTCTCAATCTCTAACTTAAATAGTCAACTTTCCAACTCATTTTCTAGACCATTCGAATCATTTAGCTTCTCTACTTGACTTATGTCTTCTTTCTAATCCTAGTCAGTGCTCAGTTTTTTCACATTCACCCTTGGGTGCTTCTGATTATGGTTTGATCTCTTTAAAACTGTTATCTCATTCTTCTTCATCATCAGAATCCCCTATTGTTGTACCTTTTACAACTACCTTAAAGCTGACTAATACTCTTTCAGTAATTTTCTTCATGATAGCCCTTGGGTAAAAATCTTTTGTCTTCCTGCTAACAAATGTGTTTCATACAAAACTTTTTGGATTTAGGCTGGCATGGAATCTTTTATTCCCTCTTAATAATTCCAAGTCAAGTCTCACTCTCTTCTCATTGTTTTACCTCACATTGTGCTGCTGCAGTTTCCGATCGTAACCATGACTTCCATATCTATCAGCAAAACAGTTCTCCAGAAGACAGATGTGTGTTTACTATTGCTAAAAATTATTGTAAAAAAATTTTGTCTAACGCCAAAGCCTGCTATTCTCAGGTCATGAAATATTTTATCTCAAAAATTAGACTCTCGTTACTTCTGGAGAATCTTTAACAGTATCAATAATAAGGGCAACTTTGTTATTCTACCTCTCTTGTGTGGTTCAGATTTTGTCATCTCACCTAAAGACAAAGGTGAATTGTTTGCTAAGAATCTTTCATCAGTATCGTCTCTTTATTCCACTAGCTGCGTTTTGCCTGATATTGCAGACAAAGACGTTAATCCATTGCTTGACATTCGTGTTACTCTAGCTTCTGTACCTAAAGTGATTTCCTACTTAGACCCTTTTACAGCTTGTGGTTTGGGGCACCATACCTGTTATATATATATATATATATATATATATATATATATATATATATATATATATATATATATATATATATATATATATATATATATATATATATATATATATATATATATATATATATATATATATATATATATATATATATATATATATATATATATATATATATATATATATATATATATATATATATATATATATATATATATATATATATATATATATATATATATATATATATATATATATATATATATTTATATATATATATATATATATATATATATATATATATATATATATATATATATATATATATATATATATATATATATATATATATATATATATATATATATATATATATATATATATATATATATATATGGGGCTCGAATTAAGTGATCGGGAATTGCGATATCTGGAAATGCTTCCGGTCTTTAAAATTTTATCTTTTTAAAAACCGTAAAATTGTTTCGATCACTAAACTCAATAGATAGCATTTAATACAAAATCTTTACATTGATTATGATATAAAATCTTATTATAAAACCATATTATCACTATTATTTTTTATTATTATTAAAGATTATAATTTAAACTTTAATATTTTAATTTACTTTTTTAAAACATCGGATAAAACTAGAAAAATAAAGCATCATAAAGTACGATACAATTATTAAAAAACAAGGGCTAATCACAACAATCTAAGGGGTTGTCCATTAATTACGTCAACAAAATAAGGGGAAGGGGGGTTAAAAAACCTTTTTGACAATTGTTGACACGGGGGAGGGGGGAGGTCAATCAAAGTTGACGTCAATTAGGCTCAGTTTGTAGCGTGGTTTCTTTGTATGGGGGGGGGGGGGGTAATCAAAATTTGACATAATTTTATAGGAGGGTCTCTGGAAATTTGACAAATTGTTGACACGGGGAGGTAGAAATTTCAAAAAATTTGTTGACGTAATTAATGGTCAGCCTCTTAAGGACTTTAACAATGATCAAGTATTTTAAATAAAAGAAATTATTAAATAAGATGTATAATATTTTTATATCTTATTTAAATCTCATTTAATATTTTCTTATAAATTTACGCTTGTAACACTTTAGCTAAATAATATAAATTTAAAAGACGGAGTAGTTAATATATATAAACTATTTTAAACTTTTTAATAGTTACTTCATAACAACAAAAAAAAAAAGAAACTTTAATAACATTTTGAAAAAAAATATACTTTATAATTTTTTTTCTTATTAAATAATTAAATTCTAATTTAAAACATTTAAATTTTTAAATAAAAATTTATTGTAAATATGTATTTATATAAACTTTAACTATTTATTGTAATTATTTATTTGTATACTCTTTATAAACTTCTGAGTTATTTTGTTCCTAAATGTTTTAATCAACTTTTGATTTAGGAATAAATAAAAGGGGCAGATCTCGTATCAAGTATAAAAACAATAGACTTGTGAAAGAAGCCAATCAGAGTAGGCAAAAGAAAAAGAAGCCAATCAATAATATATGGGCAACACCATTAAATAATGAAAAAAGTTCTACTGATTACAATTTAAACTCTCAGTTGGACTGTTCATTTAATCAAAAAATTGTAAAAGATGTCACACAGCTACAGCCTAATAATCAATATAAACTAACTGAAAAAGTTTCAAAATTACCTGGAGAGACAACTATAACTCTAAAAGATAGAGATTCAAGATCATTGAAGTCTGCAACAAACCAACAATCTAATTTAGCTTCATTTACACCACAATCACAAAAGAATCTACATGCACGCTATTGGTCCTATCTTTTGGATCATTTTCATAGAGTTTTTGATGAGCTTTATAACACTTGCGAGTCTGATGAGTGTATACTGGAATGTCAGGTACATTTATAGCTTTTAATTTATCCTAAAAATTACTTTAATTTATCCTAGTTATTGCTTACATAAATTATTATTTTTATTTATTTGTTGATTAACTATTGTGTTTGTTATGTAATTATTTTATTATTTTTTTAGTCTTTAATTTTTTTAGGAAGTAATTTTAATGATTGATGTTTGTAAACGTGACTTCAAGCAACTGATTAGGAGACTGGAATTATTTAATCAGCTTAAAAACTCTGAAGCTCGGTATTGCTTGTTAATGTTACTTATATATTGTTAATGTGTGCATGTGTGTATATATATATATATATATATATATATATATATATATATATATATATATATATATATATATATATATACACAACTATTCATAACTATTTGAATGGTCGTACTTTATGATATAAGATATCAAAGTTATGCTTACTATTAAGAAAAGAATGAAAACAAAGTTTACCTGAATTATATGTTATCTTCCTATTTATTATATTTACAAAAAAATGATATTAAATCCCATTAGATTAGTTTAATCACCCTTATAATCTTTTTAATCACCCTTATCGACAATAAATGCCATATATAATCGTGGCATTCTACATAACGGATTATCCAATTTATTGAAGTTAATTTTATGCCACTAACTAATAAGTTTTTTCTGCATTTTATGCACCATTAGGCATTAGTTTTTGACATTACTTTTAATACCTTCATAATAACCTGAAAGGAGAGAGATCTTGTGATTGGGAGGCTAAATCATTCTATTCAATATTTGATTGTTTTCGAAATCAATCAAATAACTTATAAAATATATATTTTTAAAATATGTTTTGGATTTAAGCTTCAAGTCATTTTCATCTAAAAATATTAAATGGCTTCCATTAACCTATCTTTTCGAAGGTTTAGCATAATTTTTTAAGTGTACAAGTAAACTCTTTTTGTCATTACTCCCTCTATTTTTTCAAAGTCACCTGTGGTATTCCAACTAAAACATACCTTAACACTACATCCACCCTGTTTTACAGTCAATATAACATCTTATTTTATCATTCAACGATTTTTTTTTCTATACAATCTTATCTTAAAACCAAAGATGTAAAACTTTATCACGTCAGTCCACATTTACAGTTGTTGATTGTCCATTTGTCCACATAAAACGACAAATTCCTATTGGCTAGATTGCTTAAGATTAAAACTGTGATGATAAAAGTGAAATAAGTTAGACAAGACCACTTTGTAATGATCTTATATAAAACGACAAATACCTAGTGGCTAGTTTCTAGAACCTAAAATCATGGTGACAAGAGGGTTACATCTTTAATAAAACGACAAATTCCAGTTGGCTAGATAACCTAACCTCAGAAATATGATTTTGAAAGTTAAATGACTTAGGCAAGACTACTTTGTTAAAATTCTAGATAAAACGACAAATTTCTATTGGCTAGATAACCTAACCTCAGAAATATGATTTTGAAAGTTAAATGACTTAGGCATAACTACTTTGTTAAAATTCTAGATAAAGCGACAAATTCCTATGGGCTAGATTACTTATCCGCAAAACTGTTATACTATAAGTGAAATAACTTTAGCGAAACTGCTTTGCTAAAATTCTACATAAAACGACAATTTTATATTGGCTAGACGTCTAAACCTGAAATTGTGATGCCAAAAACAAAATTCTTGAGACGAGAATACTGTGGATGAGTCGTAAACAAAACGACAAACTCCTATTGGCTAGATTACTTAACCTCAGAGATGTATTATTAAAGGTGTATTAACTTAGACAAGACTACCGTATAAGAATCCTATAAAAAACAAGAAATTCCTATTGGCTAGATTACTTAAGAATAAAACTATGACAATAACTGTGATAATAGAAGTGAAATAACTTAGGTAAGATCATTTTGTAAAGATCCTATATAAAACGACAAATTCTTATTGTCTAGGGAACCTAACCTCAGCAAATTGATATTAAAAGTGAAATAACTTTGGCGAGATTACTCTGCAAAAATCCTATATAAAACGACAGATTACTATTGGCCAGTTTCTAGAACCTATAATCAGGGTGACAAGAGGGTTATATCTTTAATAAAATGACAAGTTCCTATTGGCTAGATTACTTTAGCTTAAAACTATGATATTAAAAGTGAAATAACATAGGTGAAATTATTTTGTAAAAAATCTATATAAAACGACAAGTTCCTACTGGCTATATAACATTAGCTTAAAAATGTGATATTAAAAGTGAAATAATTAAGGCGAGACTGTGTTGCTAAAATCCTATAAAAAACAATAAACTCATATTGGCTACACTTTTAAACCTGAAATGTGAATGAGTCGTAAAAAAAATGACAAATTCTTAATTGCTAGATTACTTAAACTCAAAACTACCCCAGTTTTAAATTATTCGTTAATCTAATTTTGTATATGTTATTTATATATTAGTAAATATTGTTTTATAATTTGATTAGTTAGTTCTTACCTTTGTCAGTATAGATTTTTATTGTGTTCCCTCTTCATCTACTTAAACTGTAATTTTGTACTGGACATGTGTTCAATTTTGATAATCTGATGCTAACACTTAAACTTACTAATTTAATCTTCTTTATTTCCCTCAGGCTATTACAGCTCAAAGTGTTCCAACCAGTACACGGACCCTGTCCATGCACAAAATTTTACAAAAATATATATATATATATTTATATGTGTATATATATATATGTATACACACATATATATACATATATATATATATATATATATATATATATATATATATATATATATATATATATATATATATATATATATACATATACCACAATAATTTGGACCTTCCTATATTTATGAATGGTAATGTACTCAATTAGTCATCTACCCTTCATCTTCTAGGATTAACTCTTACTTACTGATATTTCTTGGAAACCATATATAAAATCCGTTGCAAAATCAGCATCCGCCAAAGTCGCATCTCCTTATCGAGCTTGACATCTTCTTACTCTGGATTCTATTCTCTATCTCTATAAATCTCAAATCTGGCCTTGTATGGAATACTGTTTCCATATCTGGGGTGGATCTTCTAATGATGCCCTTTCTCATTTAGACAAGGTGTAAAAATGCATTGTAAACATAGTTGGACCTGCTCTTGCAACCAACCTTCAACCATTCTCACATCGTCGTAATGTTGCTTCATTTTCTCTTTTCTACAAATACTATAATGGGCACTGCTCTAAAAAGCTAGCGTCTCTTGTGCCACCTGCTAAAATTCATTCTCGCGTGACTCGTCATTCAATTAAGTCTCATCCTTTTTCTGTGACTGTTTCTAAGTGCAGAAAAAACTCTTATTTCTCTAGTTTTTTTCCTCAAACATCAGTTCTTTGGAATTCGCTTCCTTCATCTTGCTTTCCTGATTCAATTTGCAATCTTGTAAATCGTCTGTCAGTCGTTATCTTGCTCTACAATCTTCATCTTTTCTCCAGTAACTTCCAACGCTAATTAGTGGTTGCTTGCAGCCTTGTTGGACGCAAAGATGTTTTAAAATCTATATATATATATATATATATATATATATATATATATATATATATATATATATATATATATATACATATATATATATATATATATATATATATATATATATATATATATATATATATATATATATATATATATATATATATTATATATATTATATATATTGTATTATATTATATTATATATATTGTATTATATTATATTATATATATTGTATTATATTATATTATATATATATATATATTTATATATATATATATATATATATATTATATATATTATATATATTGTATTATATTATATTATATATATTGTATTATATTATATTTTATATATATATATTTATATATATATATATATATATATATATATATATATATATATATATATATATATATATATATATATATATATATATATATATATATGTATATTTTATATATATATATATATATATGTATATTTTATATATATATATATATATATATATTATATATGTTATATTTTATATATATGTTATATATATTATATATATATATATATATATATATATGTATTTTATATATATATAATATATATATATATATTATATATATTATATATGTTATATTATATATATATGTTATATATATTATATATATTATATATTATATATATGTTATATATATATTTATATATATATACAAATAGTATTGCGTTCTAAGGTAAGCAATCTGACGTCATTCTGAAATAGCCTGCTGCTGGGGGCTTCAGTTCATACATCGACTGACAAATAGCCTGACTTGCAGTAGAGTGCTGCTTCATCGACTGAGGGTTTGGGATGGGGTAGCAATCGTTTTATTCATCATTTCGTTTTTTTTTTCTTCTTTTTTGAAAAAAATGATGCGGCTTAAAGTAAGCAGAAAAAGTGAGCAAATGCTTATCAAAACCCATTTTAGTAAGTGTGTGTGTGTGTGTATATATATATATTTATATATATATATATATATATATATATATATATATATATATATATATATATATATATATATATATATATATATATATATATATATATATATATATATATATATATATATATATATATATACAGGCCTTGCGATAAAGTGTCGGGCGATGTGAATTTTATGTAGTCCAAGAGCTATTTTGCGTGTAGCTAGGGCTATTTGCGTCTAGCAAAAAATTTTTTGTTTGAGTATATTTAAAGATTTTTTTGAGCAGAATTTTAATGAAGTAATTTACGATTATTTTATCATTTAATAAAGTATTTTAAAAACCCCACGCAGTTGATATAAAAGTTTGAATTAAAAAAAATTAAATATGCTTATATATTAAATTTTATTTACAAGTAGAAAAAATTCAGAATAAAAAAAAAGTTTAAATCTTTTAAGCTAACATTTTAATAAAATTATTCAGCAATAGCAAAGTTGTCGATAAAATTGAACAAAAATACTTTCTTTTAGTTTTAGATTTTAAACTTAAATAATAATTTACTTGGGTTTGTTAGGTTGTAAAATTATTCCATAGATTTAAAATATTTATTAACTGTTAGACGTATTTAAAGTATTTAAGAGTAATTTTGAGGAAACATTTTAAAAATTGTGAGTGCAAATAAAAAAAAAAAAAGGATTAATATTAAAACATATTCTACTTGATTCAATAAAAAAGTACAGTTATTAAAATTTTTGTAAAAAGTAACTCAAAAAAATTAC